CCTTACAATTTTGTGAGTTGTAAGAAGAAAATGAAGATCATGTTGGAAAGGAAAACCAGCATCCCCTAAGCCTTGGGCTTTATGACTCTGGCAATCAGATACTTTCCTCTCCATTTGCAGCTTTTCTATTTTTTTTTTCTGACCTTTATCACAGGATGGAAGAAGTTCCATATGAGTATCCACTGTGCAGAAAATACTCAACCCATCCGGCAAGATCACTTCATATTAAATTTTTTTCATATTGAAATAAAAGCACAATTTCCTACAATCTATTGCTAAAATAGAAATGTTTGTTGAAATGTCTTCTCAAAGGGTGCTGAGTAGTAGCATAAGGAGTTCTATTGTATTGTAAATGTTACTTTCAACATGGACTTCTTACTGTATTTGGTATTCCACAGATAACAGAGATTGGCCCCTATGTAGGTTAACATCAAAATGAGGAACAAATGGCTGCCACCACACTGGAAGCAGAGTTGGTTTTTGTTTTATTTTGCTGGTACTAGGTCTTGAACTCAGGACCTAGGCCCCTGAGTTTTTCCACTGAAGACTGGCACTCTATCACTTAGCCACAGCTCTTTCAGCTTTTTGCTGGTTAATTGGAGATAAGAGTCTCACAGACTTTCCCACTGGGGCTGGCTTCGAACCATGATCCTCAGACCTCAGTTCCCGGAGTAGTTAGGATCATATGTGTAAGTCACCAAAGCCCAGCTAGCTATTGTTTGTATTCCCAGGGGACCCCACAGTGATGCCGGTGGTTCGGGTTCCTGTGCCCCAGTGTGAGCCAGCTTTTGAACTTGATTTCGCTGAAATACAGGAAGTAGCAATGACAGCTACAACTCAGGCTCCCCAAATGATCTGATGTAAGGAAAGCAGTGAAGAGTTCCAGTGTCTTTCAAAACCACAGTGCGCCTTGGGTGGAGGGGACAGTGAGGTGCTGCCCCCACCCAGCTAGGTGTGCCCCTTCACCTTTGCCACCCAGCAGCCATGAGGTGGACCAGCCAGCCCTGTGCTACATGCTCCCCAGAATGTCCCGCCTCGCCACACAGGTCCAAAGAAAACAAGGCCAAGTGACTGTGGCCCACAATCTCTGAAGCCATGGACCAAATCTGTCTACTTTATCAACTGTGATCTCTGGATCAATGGAAAGCTAACCCACCTGGCAACTCTCTAGCCACGTGACTGCACTGTGTGGGCATTAATCCAGGTCCAGGAGCTGGGTCTGAGCTAGTTCAGAGATGGAGCTGGGTACTCAGAAGAATGATGAAAGTTTAGGGAAGGATTAACAGGGCGGCAGTGGTGGTGAGAGATGCTGCTTACATAGATGCACCTTCATGAGTCTGTGAACCAGCTCTAGAGTGTCAGGAAGGAGGTAGATTAGAATACAAAAGAAGTGCATGGTCCACACAGGTAGGAAGAACTCACTCCATTGCTGCAAGGACAACCATCTGGCCGCTTAGTCAGGTAGGGAACGCATCTACACCATCACCTAGTGACACGTGATGCTGGCCTGATGGTCGGCACAGACTCTGAGCCCCTGGTGCCAGAGCGGGATCTATGAGAGGTGACACTGACTTGCCCTTGAGTGAACTTGCGTGGAATGGCGTTGGAAGGGAGAAGGCTCCTCATTGTGCGTCACAACCCCCATTACTATATAATCCCAGTTCTGACAGCTCGATTCCCCAAAGCCAGCAGTAGTAAAGGGTTTAAAAATCTGTTTCAAAAAAATAAGCAGGAAAACTCGGTACTAATACATTAGCAATGTTCAGTTGAATACCCATTGTGACAATCTATGGATTAATTTAAGAGAATGAACACCTAAGGGAATCTCGCCTATATTAGCTTTGTGGTTTTGGTCTGAAATGTGTCACTGAGATCAGACACGTGACTTTAATTTCGGAGGTGGAAGGGAATTGCTGGTTGGTAAATAGCATTAGAATGTTCTGTGGTAATAATAATTTTTAAAAGAAGATTGCTCTGCGGGTCTTGGTTTACCGCATGGACATTTGCAATTGCTTTGTGCTGAGCAAGATGCCACTGCTTGTTGTGAATTCCATGTCCTAGAGAGAATTAGGGAGGCTTGTAAATACAGTTTACCATGTTTAAAGGAATTTAATGAAGTTTGAAAATGGGGTTAATTGCTCTGGGGGAACAGTCTGTGAACTTGTTTTGATTTTTACAGAAAAAAATTATACTATTACACAACATGTGCTTGACAACCCTAATCTAGGTTTTTGTTTGTTTGTTTTTTCAGTTATGGGGCTTGAACTCTGTCCCTCAGCTCTTCAGCTCAAGACTAGCCCTCTACCACTTGAGCCACAGCGCCACTTCCAGTTTTCTGGTGGTTAATTAGTGATGAGTCTCGCGGACTGTCCTGCCCGGGCTGGCTTTGAACCGCGATCCTCAGATCTCAGCCTCCTGAGTAGCTGGGATTACAGGCGTGAGCCACCGGCACCCGGCCCCTAATCTAGGTCTTAAGGGCTGAAGTGTAGCTCAGTGGCAGGGCGCTTGCCTAGCATGCATCACACTGTGGGTTCTATTGAGCCCCTTCCTCACTAAAGCCCTTCTGCTCAGATCTCATTCCCAGGGCTGATAGCATCCCAGAAAGTCACTGAACTCATCCCTAAATAAGAGGACCTCAAACTGAAGATTGTCACTCCGCATCCCAGCCATGGAAGTTCTTAATCTTAGTCCTCATAATTGAGGGGGCAGGTCTTATTAGGAATTCTATTTTTAAGATTGGATCCCCACAAAGCTAAAATTGGACTGGTCATAGCTAACACCTATGCACTAGTGTTCTCTGAGCACTATGTTATATTATCATGACTAGCCCCAGTTAGAAAAGAAACTGCAGCGCACGGCTTATCGTTTGTTGTTGTTTCTAATGTGCGTGTATGCTGATACTGTGGCTTGAACTCAGGGCCTTGAGCTGTCACTTGGCTTTTTCTGTTCAAGACTGGTGCTCTACCATTTGAGCCATAACTCCACTGCTGGCATTTTTGCTGGTTAGATGGAGATATGAATCTCTCAGATTTGTCTGCCTGAGAGAGCTTCAAACCTCAATCCTCAGATCTCAGCTTCCAGAGTAGCTATGATTAAATGAGCCATCAGCACTCAGCTAGTTTATTTGGTACAGGTCCTGGGGCTTGAATTCATGGCCTGGACACTGTCCCTGAGTAAAACTTTTTTTCTCAAGGCTAGCCCTCTACCACTTGAGCCACAGCTCCACTTCTGGCTTTTTGGTAGTTAATTAAAGTCTCATGGATTCTCCTGCCCAGGCTGGCCTCCTGAGTAGCTAGGGTTACAAGCATGAACCACCAATGCCTGCTAGTTTACCATACTTTTAAAAGGCGAGCATGGGCTTAAACTCTACCTAGATTCCAGGACACCCCCACCCCCAACACCAATGCTAAGTTACAGTTCTGTACCACAGCCTGCAGTTCTCATGACTCTCTTCATTGCCCGCTACTTCTCATAGAGGCCACAGGGAGGGGACAGAAAAGGAAGAGAAAATGGAGAAAGCACAAATCACCTGGGGAATCTTTCAAAGCACTTGGACTGATTCCATATGGCTGGGACAGGACCTGAAACTCTGCATTTCCAACAAGCAGGCGATGCTGGACAGCTGCTCGCTGTGGGACTGGAGACTGGGCTCTGGGCCTCAACCTCACACATGATGGTCACACACCCTACCATGGAGCCACACTCCCAGCCCCTGTGGGACATTGTAAAGAGGAAGGGGTGAGGTGACAGGCAACTCAAGCAGCTGCTGCAGCAAAAAACAAAAGGACTAGGCTACAGCCAGAAGTCACAGAGAGTCATTCGAAGCCACCAAGGACAAACGAAGGCAGAGCTTCTCATCACACATTCATGACTTCATTATGAACTTAAGTCCTGTGAGCAAGCCACCTTTTCTTTTTTACAATGGAGAAACAGGTGTAAGAGGACTGAACCCATCAGGCTCAAAAAACCACACTCCCATGACTGGGAAAGAGCAAGCAAGGAGCAAGCAAAAGAGTTGTGATGAGAGCAGTGGTTTTATACAATCAGTGCCATGCAATATCAAAGGTATCAAAGAGCTCTAAATGTGTCCTTTTTTTTGTGTGGGGGGGGCGCCTAGTTGCCATCCCTGAGCTCTTTTTTCAAGGCTAATGCCCTACCATTAAGTGACAGTTTCACTTCCAGCTTTCCAGTGGTTAACTGGAGATTCAGAGTCTCACTTGGACTTAAGGGCTAGCCTTATATTTCAGCCTTCTGAGTAGCTAGGATTACATGAGTGTGTCCTATTTTTTAATAGGCTATCTATAGTGTGCCAATACTAGCGCTTGATCTCAGGATCAAGGACACAGTTCAAGGGAACTGTCCCTTAGCTTTTTCCACTCAAGGCTAGCCCTCTACCACTTAAGCCACACCTCCACGTTTGGCTTTTTGGTGCTTAACTGGAGCTGTGACTCACAGACTTCCTGCCCAGGCTGGCTTCCAACTGTGATCCTCACAGTTCAACTTCCTGTGTAGCTCTAGGGTTACAGGCATGAGCTACTGCACCTGGCTAAAAGTGCCTGGCTAAGATTTAAGTATTTTCTGATAAGCTAGTCACCCCTCTGAGATTTAAAAATAAGCCACACAAATTAACTTCCTTATAAAACAGCCACTTCAAAAGATTTCCTTTAATATCATAAAATATTTCCATGGACAAGTGAGCTAGCAAACACACATGCACCCATGTGCCTTCCGACAGGACCCACCCCCATCCCCCACCTAGTGGACATGAGATCAGAAAGATGAATACAGCAGATGGAACAGAAGAAAAATCAGCAGAAAGAATGGAATATAACTTTGTGCTTGGTTATTTTCCTACTGTCACGACAAAACGATATCTCGGTGCAAATAATTTTTCCTCTTTTCCGTGTAAGTCTGGTAGAGAAAAAAATACTTTTTTTCTATAATAAAATATGTAGGTTTTTTTTTTTTGGTGTGGTTTTTTTGTACTTTTTTTAATGTAGTTTTTTTCTTTTTTTTTGCAGAAAATATTTTTGTAAACTGTCCCTTGGCGGGTAAGGTGGCTGGAGGCCGCGTGGGTCCCTGCGCATGCGCGTCCCACGGGAGGCCCTGTGGGAAACCCCGAACCTGGGCGGCCGAGGCGACGGCCGAGGCAGCGGGGCGCGAGTGCGCAAGCGCGAGGGGCAGGTTAGAGATCACTCTCGCCGTACAGCGCCGTGGAGAAGGACATGTAATCCAGAGCACCGGGCACGGAGTCAGGACCTGCATAAGGCGCCATTCGTGCGATGCAGTATTCAGCCTGGTCCGGCGGCAGCTCCCGGCGCAGCTCATCCTCTGTGATGTAGTTCTGTGGAGACAGCATGGCCACCGGTTGCAAAGCCAGCAGCGGCCGTAAAGCGACACCGTGCGGCAGTGCCGCAAAACCCGGCCAACTTAAACTTGCGCTGCACGTTAGGGACCCAGGGTGTGGCATCTCCCCTCCCCGCGGGGCCTTTGGAGCTATGCCTGCACCCAGGCACGCATGCGCACACACACAAACGTATTTTTAAAAATAATTTCTTTTCATTGACGCCTATTTTATAGCCTTCACAAAATAATTTCACATGATTACTCTAGTTTTGTTTTGTTTGGGGGCTTGAACTCTGGGCTTGGGTGCTGTCCCTGAGCTCTTCAACTCAAGGCTAGAGCCCTACTACTTGGAGCCATAGAGCCACTTCTGTTTTTCAGGTGGTTAATAGGAGATAAGAGGCTCACAGCCTTTCCTGCCTGGGCTGGCTTCAAAACCGTGATCCTCAGATCTCAGCCTCCTTAGTAGCTAGGATTACAGGTGTTAGCCACCTACACCTGGCCTCCAATAGTCTATATTTGTCCTGCTTCTCACTCATCTGCACTAAACATGCATTTTCAACAGGCACAATAAAGGGACATATAGATTCCTGGTGTTCTCCAGACCCACTCAGTGGCCTCTGTGGAGGCCTACAACACTACCTTTAAGGAGTGCCAACAAGGTTAAGATGGGTGTCCAGTATGAGAATCACTACTACACACTGCACCTTGGCTAGCAGCCAAAGTGTCAACCTTGTTCTAACTCACTAAGCTCCCAGCCTGGGTTGTTCCTGCCTTCCCTGCTCCCTCTACTTGAGAGGTGTGTGTGGAAGCTGCTTCATACAGGAGCTCAAGAGTCCAAGAGCCTTCACCCAGCTCTGCACCACAGGGTAGTTCCACAGCCTATCCCCGAGTTCCCTGAAAATGGGTATGAGGAAGAATAGGGATGCCTTCTTGTCACCTGAAAGTTAGGCCTTTCTGGGCTTATGTTCCCCTCCTACAAAATTAGTCAGATGTTTTCTGAAGATCTTACCAGCTCCAAGGTGCCCTCGCTCTAATGAGAGGGTCCTTGTACTTTAGTTAGACTTTCAGAGACCCCCTTCATCGCTTTATCTTTACTCCTTTATAGACTGAGATATTTCAGAAGTTATGCTCCCTACTGGGTTTTGCCTTTTCATTTCAGTTTTGAAGCAGAGATGACATAAAGGTTCCCTTGCGAATTTTACAGAAAGGAAACCCAGCCCTCAGGCATTCCCTCCACTGTAAATATTCTCTGGATCCTCCTTGAATCTTTTCTTAATATTTAGGGGGAATCTGTGGCTCCTGAAAATCCCTCCAAACCCCAGGACTAAAGATGGCAGTGGGTCTGAGTAACATCCAGGTCCACCGATGTCAAGGCTGAGCTTCTGGCCTCCATGGAGACAGCCCCTCTGTACCCTGCCTATTTTCCTGCTGCCAGGCATGGAGTTAGAGGGTATTATCTGGAAAGTTTGGGAAGCTGAAGCACTCTACTTCTTGGGATAGAAAAGTGAGATGTTCCCTACTTCTCTCCATCCTCATCCTGCTAATCACCAGGATTCTATGCCTGTGCCCCAGGAGGATTTAATGGCCAAGACCTAGATGTCTTCAGATAGACTTTTCCATTATCCAGCTCTATCCCCCAACCTACTCCATTGCCCCCCAACCATCACAAGGGCCCCTCACTGACTTGCAGCTTGCCAACTTGTAGGAGCCCCCTTCAGCTAATACTATGTCCTAACTCTTTAGCTGAGCCCAAGGCCTTATAGAAATAAGTAAACAGGTAGAGGCTCATAGCCATGGGAGACCCAATGGGGTCTGGGAAGAAAGGATGGTTGAAGTGCTCACACTCTGGCCTTGTCTCCTCCAGATCAAAGTCTAGTCAGTGCCTGTCACCCCCAGCGCAGTGCTCACCTTGTCCCCAGCCAAGATCTTGAAGGAAGCCATGACTTGATCTGCAGTATCTGTGTCGGCAGTCTCTCGGGACATGAAGTCAATGAAGGCTTGGAATGTCACTACCCCCAGTCGGTTGGGGTCCACAATGCTCATGATGCGGGCAAATTCTGCTTCTCCCTAGAGGGAACAGCCAAGCCAGGCCTGTCAGTCCATGGCCTGCTGAGAATCTCAGGTGGACCTCAAACCCCTGGGTAGCATGTTGTTTAGAAGAGGAACATACAATAGCTAATGACCTAACCTGGCTTTCCCTGAGGATATGACAAGAGACTTAATACTCATATGCCCAAGGGTTAAGCCCAACTCAGGGCTTCCCACCCTTTATAGGTATCTGGATTCTCCTTAGAAAAAAGAACACTGCTACTAATTATAATAACAATGGCTAACATCCACACAGCATATATAGTATGCTACATATTTTATATATTTAATCCTTACCACTACCATATAAAATCTTATCATTTCTGGGCACGGATAGGAAGTCCGAGGCCTATTCAGGCTAAGTAAGCAGAATTTGACCTCAAGAAGTCTGGCTCCAGAATCTGTGGTCTCTCTACAACTCTGTATTTTCTAAGTGCCAGACACGTGCACAGTACTGTGTTAAGGTCCTTTGTTTAATCCTTAACGATGGTCCTTCAGGGCTCTTCTCACTTTGTATCTGAGGTCACAAGCTGGCGATGGCAGTGTGTTGCTAATTCCTAAATTGACATTGCCTAGCACAAGCCCTTGGCCCTGCCTTGTGCTTCATGTAGGAGGTGAGGACTTGGGGTTGTTACCTATATCACAATCCAAACTAAAAAGGTAGGACTCTGCAAGTAAGCTCTGCCCTTGTCACCATGTCTGGAGTTATCTGCCTGCCCAGAAAGCCAGATGACAGAGGGCACATGAAGAAGGTTAGAGAGGAGCCTGGGATAGTGGCAGACTTGGTTGGAGTCATCATCAGGGCAGAGGAAAAAAATCTAAACCTCCATGCCTCATGTAAGATGAGGTAGAGCCAAGCATACAGTGGGAACACCCACCAATGCTTCCTGCTTGCCTCAGGCACAGACCAGGTACCCACATGAAAAATAACAAAGCCCAGTTGCCATAATAAATAACAGAGGACGAGCAGGAACAAAGACTAAGGCAAAGAACTCTGAGTCATCCGACTACACAGACCCTTGGCTTGGCCTGTCTTTTCCCAAGGAAGGACACTTGACGCTCCTCTGGGGAAGGAAGCCTTAGGCAGAGGGCTTGGGCCCCCCATTACTAAAGACTTGGCCTCTTCTGTGTGCTGGCTGTCTCCTGGCCAGGGCAGGTTAAGGCCAGGAGGGTGGGGTTTACGTTACCATGTTGTAACCCATGGAGATCAGGCAGGCGCGGAAATCATCCGTGTCCATCATGCCTGTCTTCTTCTGTGAGCCAGTGGCACAAGGCACAGGAGGAACAGACAGGGAGGAGGAAGAGGAAGAGCCATCCCGGGACCAGGAAGACAGGGCACAGATGGAAAGGAAAAGGAAGGTTATGATTGGAGGTGAGGAAGGGCAGAGGAATGTAGGAGAAACATGGCCACAGAAAGGAGGAAGCGGAGCGGGAGATGTCAAAGGTTGGAGTAGAGGATGGAGGAGGCAGGGACAGCAGGAGACGAGCCCCATGGCCCACAGGAAGGAGGGACAGGAAGATCCAGACAGGGAGAAAAGAGAAAAAGAAGAAACGCGTTATTTCTCGCCCCAGAGGCCACCTCTGAGCGTGCTCCATGCAGGAGGTGAGTACCTGGGGGTCGTTGCCAATATCATAACCCAAGCTGATGAGGCAGGCTTTGAACTCCTCGGGACCCAGCGTGCCGGAGTGATCCTGGGGCCGTGGTGCGCCAGGCAGCGAGCCATGCGGTGCCAGGGAGGTGGAGGCCGTGAGGGGTGGGGGACGGGGTGGGCCATGCCCCAGGGGGAGAGTGGTGTGTGTGGAGGAGACACAGGAAGAACAAGGCATGCGGATGGAGAGGGTGGAGGGTGGAGGATGGGGGAGGAGGGAAATAAAAGTGTACACGGTTAGACACACGGACGAGCTTCCACAAGGGGACCCTGTCCCTGGCACACACAGCCCTGCTTCGGGAAGCAGGGCCACAGGGGTGCACAATGAACCAGGAGGGTGAGAAGCTCCCCCAGAGGGGTCCTAGGCCACCCCAGTGTCCCCAAGGGCTCCACCCACCCAGGTGCCTGGAGGGCAGTGAAGCAGGCAGGTGGGACGCAGCACCTGACCCCATGCTTCCCACCCTTACGGCTGCCCCACATCCCAGGGAACTGGGAAAGGACAGCCCCATCCCCCAGAATCGAGATGGGACACAGGCCTCTGCTTCTCTGTCTTGGGGCAATGGGGACAGCCAGAGGCAGAGGCCTCCAGCTGAGACTTTGGTAGCCTCTTCTCCAAGGGCTGAGTCCTCATGGGAGGAGAGGAAGGGTTAAGGGTCAAAGGCCCTCTTCCCACCAATGACATTAGCACTCTCCCCAGGAAAGCAGGGAGGCTTATGGGACACCAGGATGGCTTTCCAAGGCTAGCTCAGAAAGCCTGACTCTGAGGTGCACTGAGTCAGAGCAGGCCCCAAGAACTTAGGCCCAGCATAGTGGCCCACACCCTGGGCGGTGCCCTCCAGGGTCCTGGGTCAGGGGCTGGGAGCTGCTCTAAGTGAGAAAGGAGTGGGGCTCTCACCCGGTCAAAGTGATTGAAGGAGGCCCGGAACTCATTCATCTGTTCCTGGCTGATGCCCTTGGCATCTCGGGTCAGGATCTGGTTCTCCACCTCATTGATGGTCCTGGCAATGGTGGTGAGAAGCTGCTCCCAGCCCACGCGGATGTGCTAGAGGTAGGGGTGAGGTTGATGGGGTATCAGGCCTGGGCTCTAAGTTGTCCCTGCCCATTCCTTTCTTTTGACTCTTATGAGCAGTCAAAGCAATCAAACTCAGCCTTCTGTCTGGAGCCATAGTATCAGCAGGGTAGGAGCAAGGACACCTTACCAGGTCAGAAGGACCTGGAGGATAAAGGGGGCTGGGTGTTGGCTCCGCCTGGAATAACATTGAGACCAGGACTTGCCAATGGGAGTCTGATAAGAAAGGGAGGTAGAGCTGATAGTGGGAAAGAGCAAAAGACAAAACGTGTGATTCCTTGAACATCCCACCCCACAGCCACACATGAACGTGCATACCTACACATACAAGTCAAAACAAGTACAGCCATGTGCCACATAATGGCCTCCTAGCCAATGAAAGGCCAAATACACCATGGTGGTCCCAGACCACCGAGTGACATTGTAGCCGTAACAGTGTGTCACTGGGGTGTCAGAAAATCACCTAAGGACACATTTCTGAGAAGGCACCATCAGTAAGAGATGAATGGCTGTAGTCTTTGAAGGCAGGTGCCCATTCCGCTGAGACTTGGAGGAGTCCACCAGCATCGGAATTGCTGGTGAGGTTTGAGAATTGAGAATTAGGGAGTCAAATTTTGGAGCTGGGGCCCACGTGAATTCATTTTTCAAGGAGCTCCTGGGGTACCCAGAAAGCCCTGCAGATTGAAGACACAGAGCTTCAGGGATGCAGAGAAGGGAGCATTCATCTTCCTGCTAGGAAGATGGGTAACAACCCTCACCCTAGCTCGGGTGGAGGGCAGAAGGGGATGCGCGCCTCTCCTCCGAGAACTGGGGCTAGCCCCACCCACCTCCATGGTGTAGTTGGTGTGCTTGTTGTCGAAGATGAGCGCCTCCTGGATCAACTGGTGGTCGCCCTCCAGCTGGTCAATCTTTGGCTTGTAGTTGACGATGCTCTTCTCGTACTGCCGCAGGTGATTGAGCTGGTCCTCCAAGGTCCCGTGCATCTCGATAGAGATCCTGCCGATCTCCTGCTCGTCCAGAAAGCGGCACCTTGTCAGACCTCTCTCTTCCATAGAATTAAAGCCCTCCAGGTCATTAGTTACCCCAACCTTTCTCCCACACGCTTGGTGATTCTGGGTTTCTATCTCAGCCCTAGGGAGGCCAGCACCGGGAATGAAGGATACACAGCTAGCATGGGTGCATCTTGGTATGGAAGTAGCATCCTAAAAGTATATAATAAGCATCATCATTGCGTCAGAGCTCTGCCATCCCTTAGGTTAGACTCAGAAAGGAGATGTTGGCTCACTTGCTTCCCATTCAAACTCCCACTCCAAGCCTTGCTCTCAGTCATTTCCTCCCATGAGGGCCTTCCTGATGCCCACTGAACCAGGATTGCCACACCCTCAGAATGCCTGGCTTACCTCTTCAGAAGCTACACTCTGCTCTTTTGACTCCTAAGATGCCTACCCAAGTTCCATCGCTCCCCACAGGTCCGACCTAATGTCTGTTTCCACCTGTCATTCACCCATTGTAAGGAGCGCTTGCGTGTAAAACCATTTCTGTCCATTCAAGTCAGCCCTGATTTGATATTGAATATCAACTAAGCACAGTGTCTTGGGGGCAAAGGAAGGGGTGCATACAGTACCAGGAACTTGACCTGGTCTCTGGCCTTAAGAATCTCCAGGATTTAGCTGGGCGCTGGTAGCTCATGCCTGTAATCCTAGCTACTAAGGAGGCTAGGATCTGAGGATCATGGTTCAAAGCCAGCTCATGCAGGAAACTCTGTGAGACTCTTTCTCCAATAAACTACCAGAAAACCAGAAGTGATACTGTGGCTCAAATGGTAGAGCACTAGCCTTGAGCTGAAGAGCTGAGGAACAGTGCCCAGGCCCAGGGTACAAGCCCATGATCGAAAGAAAAAAAAATCTCAAAACCACATTCCAATCAAGCTAATCCCCTATGAACCCCAACATCTAGCCTAAATAATTCAGCAAAAAAAATTCTGCATTTCACTGGGGATGGCTCGGCTCTCTTTCTGGCAAGATCATATTCTTTGACTAGGCCCTTTGCCAGTGAACAATAATGGAGGCAGGAATACCTGGCGAACGCAGCAAGCCAAAGGGTTAATGAAGCTGACCCAGGCATTCAGGAGCTGGTCATCCTGTGGGACTTTCTTATGTAGCTCCATAGAAATGCCCTCCTGTCTATCTTTGCTCCCAATCAGACATCAGGATCGAGCTTTCCCTGCACAAGGCTCCACACCCCACCAGAGGGCATCCCCTAATCAGGGGCGTGTAGTGGACAGTGCCTTTCTTGTACTGCCGCAGGTGACTGAGTCGGGGTTCCTGCCCCAGGGGAGATAGTTGACCTGCCTGGCACAGATGGTACTAAGGAGAAATGGGAAAGCAAATACTTCTCACAAGGGGACTCACCTCCATTTTGGTCTGGATCCAGGGCCCAATGACATTGGCCTGGGCTCCAAACTGTTTGCGTAGCCTCTCATTGTGCTGCTGGCGGGCATGCTCTTCCGTCAGAGCCTGGTCTCTCCGTGGCACCAGCTGCCGAACCTGGGGCAGGAACAATCATGAGACTTTGGGGATAGGCCAACCGGCTCCTCATGCGGCCAATGAAGAAATGAAGAGCCATGAAAGGGAGGGGTGGGTCAAAACCAGAACAACAGCAAAGATGCTGACCTCATCCAGCAATTCATGCACTATTTGGGTCATGTTTTACTACATGATAATGAAGTAAATGAAATGCATGAAAATCAATGAAAAAAAACAAAACTCTTCGTCCTTATCAAATATCCAATGGCTCAGCCTGTGCCCTTCCACTCACGTGGTCCCATTTGCCATTGATCTCCTGAGGTGCGATGCTTGTATAGGGATTGGTGCCCGCCATGTTGACATGATAAGTCTGGACAATCTTGGACACCTCGTTGTGGATACCCAGGATGGCCAGGCGTTCCTTGTCAGCATCGGGAAGGGTGGCCTTGAACTGCTCATGGGCTGTGGTCAGTCCCTGAAGAGACACAGAGATACAGGACAAAGACAGATACTCAGTGGGGCTGGTGCTTTCCTTGGGTAAGAGGTCCCAGGTAGAAGATCAGAGGACAAAGGATGCACAGTCCCACACCAATGGGAGAGCCAGAGGCATCAACTCAGATTCTCCCAGCTGAGAACTAAGGCAGGGCAGCTACGGGAAGGAGAAGGCAGGGCTAGCAGTACAATGGCTGCATCCTTGGAGCTGGTGAGATTGACAGCCATCTCCCTGGGATGTTCACTATCCCACAGGGGACCAGGGAAGCTCTAGATGACCTCTGGGTCAATACTGGCCATGGGAGCACTCTGCACAACCTTCTGAATCTAATACCCTGTAGTTACATCAAAGATAAAGGAAGGAGCTCATTTCGATATAAAATGAACTCCGGGATTCATGGTTTTCTAATTGTTATTATAAAAGTGATACACAGATGGGTTATAGTTTCGTAAGTCAGGTAAAGAGTACATTTCTTTTTGGACAATGTCACCCCTTCCCTGGCCCTCTCCTAGTTTTTTCCCCTTCCATCCCCACCCACAAGTTGCATAGTTGATTTTCAACAAAGTATCTAATGAGTTCCAAGATTAATGTTAAAAGTCAAAGACCTGGGATATAATCAAACTACTTTTTATAAGCAACAACAAAAGAAGGGTGTAGAGAAGAAGGTGCAAATAAATATGTTGACTATGTGGCCATATGGCTTATACTTGTTGAAGGGAGTTGGAGGGGAGGGGATGAAGAGTAGCAGGGGACAGGACCATAAATGTCTTTACCATTTGGTCAAACTACTTGGTCAAACTAACAAATCAAAGGTTTCGGATGATCTTCTTCAGTCTACCCTACAGGGCAATCCTACAGGAATGTGATCCAGCGCAGGCGCTTGGGGGGTATGACTGGCTCACCTGGATCTCCTCAATGGTGTGCACAATGAAAGTGTCCTGAAGGTCTTCCATGGCCCCTTCCATCCAGTTGTTGAAAGGTGCAGCCCGCTTGGCGTACTCCAAGTACAGCTGGTCAATGGTCTCCAGTAGCTTCTCTGTCCGCTGGAAGTTGCCAAGCAGGTGTTTAACAGAGTGATATTCAGAGCTACCTCCCACCTCCATCATAAGCCTCCAGGCCAACCCCAAGGGGTCCTGGTCTGGAAGCACTGGACTAAAGCAGAAAGAACCAGTTCCACAAGGGCACTGGTTCAGTGTATCAGGTGATGGATCACCTCACAATGAAATCACTTGGCCTGGCCCCCACAGAGCCTGATTTGTAGCCCAGATAAGTTCTCAAATAGCTGGGGTTGGGCTGTTAGGTGCTGAGATGCCACAAACACTAAAGAGGACGAGACACCATTAGGGCACAAAAGGAGGCATCTCCACGAGGGCCTGTGCCAAAGTGAGTCTCCCAGTTAGGCCAGGGTGGGGATGGATCCAGGGAACCTTGCAGACCTTTAAAGCAAAGAGAACCAAGGAGGAGGAAGATGCACATGCACATACATACATGCTGCATCCATGCACACAGCCCTGCTCTCTCCAGGGCCCTTACCTCTAGAGCTTCCCTCCGCTTCTGAGTCAGGGCCCCCAGATTGTCCCATTGGTCACAGATCTTTTGACAACGAGCGTTAACACTGGGTGAGTCGTAATAGTCCAGCTCACTGGGGTTGGGGAAGGAAAGACAAGGAGTCAGGTGATGCATGACACAGGATGATTATGGAGACTGATCTCCCTTTCCGTGGGTGGGGTGGGCTGGGGATCACTACTGGTGCTGGAAGAGTCAGGGGTGCTTCCACCTGCATGACTTGCAGTCCCACCTCCTTGTCCTTGAGGAGACCAGAGGTGGGAGACTGAAGGTAGCCATTCTTCTTCTCTTGCCTCCAACCAACGCTGGAGGTGAGGCTGGCCTTGACCTGATGCTCAATGACAGGGAACCTAGGGTCTATGAAAAAGTCTAGCACTAAGAACCAAGGCTTGATCTGTCTTAATGAAGATGAAGACCCAAGGTCTGGAACAGGAATGGCATAGTCCTAGCTCCTTTCTCCCTAAAAGGACATTACTTGTTTTCCATATGACTCACTTCCTGTTTGGGCACCATTTCCCATCCCCACTACAACAGTAGCTGATAAAGCCAGGCCCCAGCCCTCACTCTTGGCACCAAAGGATGGCATGGGGGGGGGTGTTAGGGGAGGGAGGAGGGGGACACTGGGGCGGGCCTACTTGAGCTCCTGTGCGATGGCGGCAATCTGTTCCACACGATCTTGGTGAGCAGCTAGGTCACTCTCGAAGGCCTCGTGCTTCTTGAGCAGGGCCTTGATCTCTGACAGAGTGGCCGTCTCATAATCCTTCTGCCGCAGCATGGCCTCTTTGCCTGGATGCAGAGATGGGATCACAGCTGAGTAGGAAACACAGGATCTTCTTGGACCTAGCCACCCACCCCTCAAGGCCCCAGGACTCCACTTCTGGGGTTGCTTCCCAGAGAGGTATATCCTCCAGACTGTGATCCCCAGTGTGAGAAAGCAGATGTGTGGCTGGACATCTAGTCATGGTAAGTGAGGGGGAAATTACCACTCTCCATGGAGCATCTCCAGAGCATTTAGAGCAGTTATGAATGAAGGCTAGGCAGGAATACATGGGAAGGTAAAGAACACAGCATTTGCGATACAAGCATTCGCAGGATGCACAGCCAGCTACACCCCATGACATACTTAGGGGAAAAACTTGCCAAGCACACCAGCATTCCTCCGGTCACTATGTGGCTGGCTTCAAACAGCCCAGCAGGGAGCCCCTCCCCAGTTAACTCTCAGTGCAGTCCAGACAGTTGGGTGCATCTAAACCTTCTAGAACCTTCTCTGACCATTAGATGCACAACCCTTTCTCTTTAGAGCAAGACGCTTGCATTTCTTGGATCTCTTTCTACAGGAGGAAAGCAGGGATGAGAAACAATCAAAGCTCCTCAGCTGCTTTATGACAGGCACAGGGAAGGAGCTAGCTGAGCTAGTTCTCATGTCCACTTTCAGCATCAACCCTGGGGTTGCTCAGACTGCCAGAAAAGAACTGCTGAGCTTCAAGCCATTTTTCTTCCCCCCTATTGTTTTTTCTTTAAATCATAATAAGACATATTTACATAAAAGAGATGATAATAAATAAGCTTACTTGTCTACTTACTTCTATTTAGTTTTTCCCTGTATGGATATTAACACATTAGATATATATTAATTGTTTTAAAATATTTAGCAGTACATTTTTGTGTGTGTGCCAGTATCAGGGCTTGAACTCAGGGCCTGAACACTGTTCCTTAGCTTCTCCACTGGCTCTCTACCACTTGGACCATACTGCCACTTCTGGCCATTTGGTGGTTAATGAAGATAAGTGGCTCATGAACTTTTTCTGCCATGGCTGGCTTTGAGCCATGATCCTCAGATCTCAGCCTCTTGAGTAGCTACCATTACCAGCATGAGCCACTGGCAACCAGCTAGCAGTATATTCCTGAAATATCTATTTGGATCCATTGTCTTCCTATGTAAAGTCTTTCATTGGTATATCTTTAGGAAATTCATTTCAGGATTCTCAAGGATGCCAAAAATCTGAAGATACGCAAGTCTCTGAAGTATTTGCATATAACCCACTCATATGCTTTCAACCATCCCTAGATAATGTACAATGCCTAATACAATGAAAATGTTAAGATTATATTGTTTAGAGAATAATGACAAGAAAAAAAAGTCTACACATACATTCAGCACAGATGCCATTCCTTTTGTCTGAATATTTTGATCTGTGGTTGGTAGAATCCAAAGATGTATAACTCACAGATATGGAGAGAGGACTTTACCTCCAGGACAGAACCACTCACAGACTTACTGTAGGACACGCAGGACCCTTGGCTTGCGTGATGGTACATTTCTTACCACCAATGTCTCCTGGCACATGATTTCTCCATGTTTAGGGTCAATTCCTTAGTCTCAGGAAATAGTATTTCCATTCAAATATAATGAACTCATTAGGTATGAAGTTGGGTAGCCAAACTGCTCCCCTCTGAGGCTGTGCTGAATGCTAGGGTTCCTCATGCTCTTACTGGTGGCTTGCAAACTGGGAGAAGTGGGGGACATCCTTTGCTCTCACATGGCTGTGAGCTGTCCCTGACCCAGGAGAGAATCCCTACAGTACCTCATGGGTGAACCAGGACCCTCTCCATCCACACCTGCATAGGCACTTAAATAGGGTGCTATACCCACTCCCTTTAGTCAAGAGCCAATGGCATGCCAATCCTTATATCAAGCCAGGCCATTCCCAAACAGCCACAGGTCCTTTCTGTTTATCTCCAGCCTGAAGTCAGACAAACATAAAACAGGGCTAAATTAGGGAAGGGGGGGGGCGTGTCTCAAGCTCAGGGTTCTCTATTAGCTAATTTGGCCTCCAGCTGATAGAGCTAGCAAGGCCCCTCCCTCCCTGCTACTAGCTTAGATTGTGAGGTCAAGAACATCCCAAGTATGAATGCCTCGCTTCAGAGTTAATGCCAGCTGACAATAAGAAGACGTAATATATAGCCCGAATGCCTGAAAGTCAGATTAAGAAGACACAGGTTCTAATGTAAAGAAAGGCTTTGGACTGGGCGCCAGTGGCTCACGCCTGTAATCCTAGCTACTCAGGAAGCTGAGATCTGAGGATCATGGTTTGAAAGTCACCCAGGCAGAAAAGTCTGTGAGACTTTTCAATTAGCCACCAGAAAACAGGAAGTGGCGCTATGGCTCAAGTGGTAGAGCACTAGCCTTGAGCTGAAGAGCTGAGGGACATTGTCCAGGCCCAGAGTTCAAGCCCCACAGCTGACAAAAAGAAAAAGAAAGAAAGGAAGGAAGGAAAGAAGGAAGGAAGGAAGGAAGGAAGGAAGGAAGGAAGGAA